TGTTTGAAAGTAAGACTGAACCAGGAACCAGATGCTTTACAGCTCATAAAAACACTTCTGGCCATTGTAAAATGGGCCACACCTCTCCCCAATCACATGACCCCATTTCAGATGTTTGCCAACCAGCTCTCCTTTACAACTGGTTGCAGCATCCTATGGTCATGTAGTCAAAATTTGCAATGTTTTTTTGCCAGTTTCCTAAGAATGGATTTGCACTTAAGAATATGGTGTTTGCTTAGTGAACATAGTGATTACCTTAATGATAGTTGCAAAAAAATGTGACATCTAATTTGATCATGTGGATGCCTCAATTTATTATGGTAATGACTTAGGACCACATATCCGGTCCCAATTGCATTTTTAAGTTGAGGACTACCTCTGGTCATGTTTCCTATCTGGTTTACCTGGGAGGTCTGACAAAGTACAGTGTTTGAGTCAAATACAACACCACTTAATTGTCATGCCATCCAGCCTCATTTAATTAGCTTGCTAATCATTATCTCGTGGGATACTTTATTAAATGTGTTATGGATTTAATCATTTATTACATATTTTAAAGTATTTTTATCTTGCCTTTATTCTTTTATAAATAAAGAAGATGGCAAACATTTCTGACATTCCTTCTTCCTCCTATTTTTCCCAGAACAACAGCCCTGTGAGGTAGGTGGTGTTGAGAGGGAGTGACTAGCCCAAAGTCACCCATCCAGCTTTCATGCCTAAAACGGGGACTAGAACTCACAGTTTCCTGATTTGTAGCCTGATGACTTAACCACTAGACATACCTTGCCACAGTTTTCCTTTTTATTTATTCTTGGCAATTTGGCTGAATGCTTTGCTGATGTCAAGGTATGTTACATCTGCTCCTGTCGTCTGATAAGGAAATTGCTCAAAAGATACAATTAATCTAAGATTTGTTCTTGATGAATCCATGCTTATGAAATGGTCTAGATAGAATCTTCCTAGCATTAATATCAGACTAATTAGTCTAAAGCTTTCTGGATCCTCCTTTCCCCTCCTTTTTTCTTTTGAAAATTTCTCTGAGATCCCAGGATGAAATTCATCTAAATCTGGAGGCTTTAAATTAATTTTAAGAAAAATACCAGTAGTCCTTGAGTTACGACCAAAACTGAGCCCAAAATTTCTATTACTGAGACATTCGTTAAGTGAGTTTTGCCCCATTTTATGACCTTTTTTGCCAAATTTATTAAGTGAATTACTGCATTTGTTAAGTTAGTAACACATTTGTTAAGTGAATCTGGCTTCCCCATTGACTTTGCTTGTCTGAGAGTCAAAAAGTGATCCTATGCCCCAGGACACTGCAACTGTTATAAATATGTATCAGTTGCCAAGTGTCTGAATTTTGATCAGTGAGCATAGGGATGCTGCAATGGTCGTAAATCTGAAAAATGGTCATAAGTCACTTTTTCAGTAACTTTGAACTGTCACTAAATGAACTGTTGTAAATCGAGGATTACCTGTACATAACCCCTGACCATTTTTCTACCCAAACTTAGGCTTCCATTTTACCCCTTCACTCTTCATTTATTTATTAATTATTAAATTTCACAATTATTGATCGGACATATACTGTTTCATTGGGGAAGACTGCAACAAAATAAGTTTAGTCTGTTTTACTGTAGAATGAAATTGTGATAAAGATCGGAAAGTATTATTATTTTGTTATTATGTTGAATATAACATATGTCTTTAATTCTTCATTGATAGAAAATGTGAGTTATATTTCTCATTACTGTAAGAGAATTATGATTGCGTCACTAATTATGGCTGAAATCAGTATTGCGATTTGCAGAATATTAACATATCAAACAGAAGAGTTTTAGCTTTGCCATTTCCTTGATATGTTAGTATTCTTTTTATACAACTAAAAGTCCATAGGAAAGTCTGCAAAATCTGAACTCACAATCTGAACTGATATCAGAAATTTACCACCTTTATGAAAAGTATCTTTTTAAAGTATCCATTGACGAGCTATATAGTTGTATGGATATAAACATATTTAATATAATTTATCTTTATTTTAAAGTAATATAATTATTACTTTTTTTACAGGCATTCAGATTAAAATTAATTTTTTAAGAACTTCTGTTTTAGTCATTGTTGAAAATAAATTGCTTGTTTATAAGATAGTTAACTTAGGAATGTGTATTTTTTATGCTGAATGAAAATTAAAATTCATTTAAAACGCTGAAACATTTTGTTGCAGTTTAATTAAATTATATTAAATTGTATTGGATTCTGCACATATCAAAGGAGTAATGTTTTTGTTAAGTATGATCTAACAATAATAAAAAGAAAAGCCTTTTTTTAGTTTTAGAAGACAAATAGTATTCAATACTTCTTATAAACTTACTGTATGTAGTATGTCTTCTTCAGCTAGGGCTGAAGAAGACCCTGTCAAATCTTTGAGAAATCACAATGGAGCATTTGATTTTTCTATGCCTTTATTTAATTTCTCACCAAGTTTGCCACAGACATCCTCACAAACACAAATTCTAATCTAGATTTTTCTAGGGTCATTATTATAAGTTTGTCATTATTAGATTTTTATCCTTCTTTGTGGGTGGGTGTGTCTATATATAGGTATGTATATTTATACCTTATATACATTCAAGGCAGTGAACATACCTAATAATCCTGCCTCCCTCCTATTTTTTCCACAGCACCAACCCTGAGAGATAGTTTGAGCTGAGAGAGCCCAAAGTCACCCAGCTAGCTTTCATGCCTACGAGAGACCTAGAACTCACAGTCCTCTGGCTGCTAAGCTAACCCCTTAACCACTAATAGGAAAGATAATATATGAAGTTATTAAAGTATTTCACTCTACTTTTTTGTGTGTACTAAGATAATTTAGCGCGAGTGTGGAATAATCAGGATAAGATCATAAATTGTGCAAGAAGTTATATGACTCTTGGAAGAGCTGAATTTGTTTTTCAGTCTAACTTAATTCAAAATTTTTCTTACGTTTTTGTAATTTGAAAATATGACAAGCAAATTTGCACAATTTAATCTTCTAGCATAGAACTGAATAGTGATGCTATAATCCATCTTTAGATGTATGCATAATGTCATTTTAATGAGTTTCAATTAAAAATTTAGCTTTTCAAATATTTCCTGGTTTGATGTTTTGTTACGTCTCAAATTTGTACTAGTGTTTTCAAAATCTGAGTTATAGTGGTATAGAATTTCAAACTTCAATTGCAAGGAATTGTTAAGGAATAAAGAGAAAATGAAGTATTCGTAGAACTATTTAAGTGGTTATTATTCATCTTTTTTTTCAAAATAGGTCCAGAATTTAAATGTAAGCTTCACAAAAACTAAATACCTTTATTAATTGTTAGATCTTGGCTAAAATTACAGTAAGTGGGTTGTATTTGGTCAAACTGCAAATAGCCCCTAGCAGGACCCAAGTTTGCTGATGCATTCTGGATAATTGAGAAAGTCAAAGAATACTGAAAAGAAGTCTATATGTGTTTCATTGATTATAGAAACATTTTGACTGTTGACCATATCAAGCTATAGAATATGCTTAGGACAATGGGAATTCCAGAATCTCTCATTATCCTTACGCAAAAGCTATTTACGGACAAGAAGCCACAGTCCGGATGAAACATAGCAAAATGTGTTGTCTCCAGGTCAAGAGGTAGTAAGACAAGGCTGGACCCAGTCATCCAGTATGATGGATATATATAGAAGAGGATAGCTGGGTTGAAAGAAGATGTGGATGGTTTTAAAAATGGAGAAAAATATAAATAACTGTCACCATGATACTGATACTACTATGGTAGCTGAAAATGCAAATGATCCAGAAACTCTAGTAATGAAAATCAAAGAAGGCAATAAAAATGGGACTAACATTATTAAAGAAAAAGAAGACTAAGGAAACTAATGACAACAGGTACTGTAACAAATTTAGAATTGAAAGTGAAAATTCTGAAGTTACAGCATGTCTTTAGAATCTATCAAGGGTCTTTTAGAATCTTATCAGCAATGTACAAATCAGCTATGTACCACAGATAGCATTTGGTAAAATAGCAATAAAGGCCTTAGAAAATATTCAGATATGTCGTGTCTATCCCCATAAAAATCAAAATTGTGCCAGTGGTTTTCCTGTGAATGGACTTTGGAGAACTAAGGAAGAAAGTGTACTAACATTTTTGAAATCAGAGCACTCCTCAGAATACCATGAGTGGCCAAGAAACCATATATCATAGAATTAATCAACCCAGAGTTCTTATTTGAGGCATAAATGACTAGGTTTAAATTATCCTAATTTTGAAAAAAAATATGAGAAGTAGTAGTTGTCTGGTGAAGTCTATAATGCTTTGAATGGTGAAACAAAAGAAAAAAAAGGACAGTCAGCGGCAAGGCGGATGGATTTTATTGCAGAGACAGTGGATGCACCATTGCATGACCTGAAGGATCAGGTTGAGGACAGAGCTTGGGGAAAATCAGTGTGATTGCACTGATTTGATGGCACATCATCATAACCTGAATTCCATTTCTGAGAGCCAAGAACTATTGATTAGAAAGTTGGTTATAAACTGGAGAAATCTGGGTTACTTAACAAATATTAAGGGATGTTTCAGTAAATTTATCTCTCAAAATTATTGAGCAAATTAAATAATCCCATTTAGCATTACCACAAATATTTAATTCATTAATTCATTCTGGTTTGGAGTTTGGTTTTGCTTTTAGGTGTTTTCAGCGGGCAAAAGGGAATAATAAGGATTGAATTCTGTTTAAAATATTTGTCCATTTGGAAAAAGAATTTTATCCCTGTTCTGATATAGCAAAGTTCTCAAAGGTACTTCACCCACTTTCTTCCAAGTCTATGTTTCCTTCCTCTCTTTGTTTAATATATATTGTCATAATTTCATAAATACTATTTTTGACAGTTGTCTCCTAATTGTATTTTTATTCAAAAGTTAGTATTAGATATATTGTTAACGGATCAATTCCTCTCTCTCTCTCTCTTGTAGGGGGACTAGAGGGCTGAAGAGGATACTTGTTTAGCAAAATTGGTAAGCTGTTTTACTTTTTTGCAGTTTCTACACAAGTGAATTCAGAATGTACACTTTTTAGCTGACATCAATTAAATAAAGTATATTGTGTGAAATATTTATTACAGAACATAATGTTCTCAGAAGGGGATCTTAAAGCACCAGTATAAACTTGGTATATCACACTGTAAAAGGTGGCAAAAAAGGTCTAGATTCAGAATTATTTAATTGTAGTTTTTAATAGTTATTTTATGGCTATTATAATGGCTCTGAAAATAAAATGTTACAGATTTTTTGTAAATTAATTATTGCAAGAAATTGTTTAGTTTCTCAATATTACCTTATTTTCATTTAATATAAAGTTATATTGCTTAATAATAACTTGAGAGTTTATTTAGTATTAGAAATAGAATAACAGAGTCGGAAGGGACCTTGGAAGTCTTCTAGTCCAACCCTCTGCCTAGGCAGGAAACCCTACACCACTTCAGACAAATGGTTATCCAACATCTTCTTTAAAACTTCCAGTGTTGGAGTATTCACAACTTCTGGAGGCAAGTTGTTCCACTGATTAATTGTTCTAACTGTCAGGAAATTTCTCCTTAGTTCTAAATTGCTTCTCTTATTTGTCATTTGTTTTCATAGAAGATTTTAGGAATATACATTTTCAATTTTATGGCCATTTATTATGAAGTAAGTTAAATCAAACATTTAGGACTTAGTATCAGATAAGTGTATGGCTCATAGTTGTTGTGTTTTGTAAAGCAATTATGTTGCAAAGTTGTTGAAAGTCTTGAGATAAAAAATTGGATTATATGTTTATGTGTCTTGATCTCATAACTAGTTCTATGAATAGGACTTTATGGTTTTTTCCTTTTCTTTTATTAAAACACTTTTTTATAGGACTACTGTAAAAAGCAAAGTTTTCCTTTTCATTAAAAGAAGCATCTGAAGGTGTGGGGATTTGGTAACCTCAACAGAGCAAGAAAGTGGAGAAGGCAGAGAATGGAGTTGCAGACTCTACAGGAGGCTCTGAAAGTAGAAATTCAGGTTCACCAGGTAAATAACTTTTTTCCCTTTGTTTCACTTGCAAAACTTATTAGAAACTCCTCTTTTTTTATATAAATTTTATTTATTTAAAATACAAACAAAACAAAACAAATAACAAAACATACAGAACAGGTAAACAAAAAGTTGTCAAAAAGTTATCAAAGTTGTCGCAACTGTAATCTCTGCTCTTATTTGTGCTTTTGACTTCTCCTTGTTTTGGTCTATTCTCCTATATCTATCTTTGTGGTTCACTGTTAACCTGTATTAGTAGTTTGTGTTCCTATCCCTATATTAGGTCGTTCCAGTCACTTCCTAATCTTTTTTTCCTTTTCTAACTTCCAACCAAATGTACCACTTTCCCCATACTAAATAATAGTCATGTTTCTCTTTTTCTTGTAATTCCTTTGTGAGTCTGTCCATTTCTGCACATTCCATGATTTTACTAATTATTCTATCTTCTGTTAGTATGTCATTACTCTTCCAATTTTGTGCAAAAATTATTTGTGCTGCTGTTATTATATGAATGATTAAATACTTTATTTCCTTTTCGTATTGTCCATTTATTATACCTAGTAGAAAGGTTTCTGGCTTCATTTTTATTCTTTGTTGTGCAATTTCTTCTATTTGTGTTCTAATCATTTGCCAGTATTGTTTTGCCTTTGGGCAGGTCCACCACATGTGATAGTAGGTTTCTTTATGTAGTCTGCATTTCCAGCATGTTGGGGAGGTGTTGGGGAACATTCTTGCCAGTCTAGCTGGTGGGAGATGCCACCTATAAAACATTTTGTGCAGATTTTCTTTATAGGGTACAGACATTGTTAATTTGTAATTTATTGTCCATAATTTTTCCCATTTGTCCAATTCAATATAGCCAAAATTCTTTGCCCAAATTATCATGTTTTCTTTGACCACCTCTTCTTCTAATTTATACCCTCATAAATAATTATAAACTTTTTTTATCAATTTGTCCTGTGATCCTTGTAAAATTTTATCTAGTTCGTATTGGCCTTTCTGGAATCCAAATTGAGCTGAATCTTTCTTATACCTTGATTTTATTTGTAAGTATGGCCACCAGTCAATGTCTGTACCCATCTCCTCATTTACCAAATTACAAAAATTGGAGATGGATATCATAAATTTACAGGAAGTTCACATCAAAAAACAACACCAAAAGATATTAGAAAATACAAGATTAGGGAACCTTTACACTTCACTAGCAGAACAAAAAAAAAGAGGCATCGCAGTCTATATTAGGAAACATATAAAAACAAAACAGATATATGCAGATGATGAGGGGAGAGTTCTAATGATTGAAATACAAACAGAATTAAAAACAATACTATTGATCTCGATTTATGCACCAAATGAGAATCAATGTGCCTTTTTCAAAAATATACACAACAAAGTAAAAGATTTGGATTACGAGAATATCAATGCAATTTCGGACACGGAAAAAGACTATTGGAGTACTAGGAAAAATAAAACTAAGAAAAAGACCTTCCAGATTCTTTTAAGGAGATGACGCAAGAACTATATCTTCAGGACGCTTGGAGGGAAATAAAGAAAGAAAAAAACCAGTATACGTTCTATTCCAATCCACATCTATCCTGGTCTAGAATAGATATGGCCTGGATGACAACAGATCTCAGGAAAGACCTAGAAGAAATAGAAATAATGACAAATATATGGGCAGACCACAATCCGGTAAAAATAATTTGGAAATTTATCGGAAATTTATTCCTCCTAAATGGCAAAAATAACAATAAATGGCGACATGACAGAACAATTTCCAATATCAAAAGGAGTGAGACAGGGGTGCCCTCTGTCTCTTCTGTTATTCATATTAGCTTTGGAAACACTCTTAAAGGAAGTTAGAAGAGATAAGGAAATAAAAGGCCTGAAAATTAAAAGGGAGGAATACAAGTTCCAAGCTTTCGCCGATGATATTGTATTTATCATAGAACAGCCAATAACAACCGGCATTAAATTATTAGATAAAATAGAAAAATATGGGAGAGTAGCCGGACTCAAAATCAACAAACAAAAAACAAAGGCACTAACGAAAAATCTCACCAATCAACAAGAAAAGGAACTAGAAGACGAATTAGGTATACAAACGACAAAGAAGGTAAAATATCTAGGAATATGGCTCACTAATAAAAGCTCATCAATTAGAGAAGATAATTACGACAAATTGACAAGACAAATTAAAAGAGACTTAGAAATCTGGAAAAAATTACCAACTATCTCTTTTGGGAAAGATCGCTTCAGTTAAGATGAATGTCCTACCTAGAATTCTATATTTATTTCAAGTGATCCCAATAAAACCGGGGAAGAATTTCTTTCAGGATTTCAATAAATTAATAGCAGACTACATCTGGCAAGGGAAGAAAGCAAGAATTAAAATAAAACACCTACTAGATACAAGAGAAAGAGGAGGACTAGCACTACCGGACTGGGAAACATACTATTAAGCATCAGCACTGATTTGGATTAAAGAATGGATGGAACTTAAAAATAAAAGATTACTAAATTTAGAAGGATTCGATTTACAACGAGGATGGCATGCATTTCTATGGGAGGGCACCGATAAACGACATGGATACTTCCAGAGGCATATTCTTAGACAAACATTATATCAGACATGGCAGGGCATTAAAAAAACACACTACAATAAAATTCCGGAATGGTTATCGACCATGGAAGGTCAGATCTACCCGAACGCCATGGATACCACCAAAATGAAAACCTATAAAGAATTGCTAAACAACCAAGGGGAACTAAGAACAAGAGAAGAATTGAAGGAGATGGGTACATTGACTGGTGGCCATACTTACAGAAACTTATTAGAAACTCGTCTAATTTCAGGAGATCAGGCTAAAAAATACTAGTTTCTTGGTAAATTTTGGCACATTTCTAAATTCAGCACTATGATTAGTGTTTGTCTGTTTCTATTTCTGTTTTTTATTGTCCACAATTTTCTGGGACTCAAAGAAGTATTCATTGGTCTTCCATAACATATATACTTCACATACACATACATATGAAACTTACAACTGATATTAATTAAAAGTCTTAAGAGACAGAGGCAGAAAAAACATAGAAATAAAACAAAAATAAATTTAGTTTTGTGTGCTCTTTTAACATTTTTTAATACTCCACCAGTTTTTTTTTTCAGCCAGCTGAGTTCTTTACCTTTTTCTCAACTTTCTGAAACCATGTATGTTACTAAACTATTTCCTTATTTTCAACTCATAAATTATTGTTATTGAAGCTGAGTTGAACACCCGGTTCTTACTTACAATCCATGCGACATTAAAAACAGAAATATAATTCATGAAACTGAATTACAAAATTTGAATCTTAAAACGTTCTGAAATGGTTTATAAAATTTACACTCTAACCTTGAAAGCAGCATGTGTACAGATACTGCAAGTTACTGCAACTGACATGCATGCCTTTTTTGTCTTATTGTCTTCCTTACAAAGCTGTAAGAACATAATACTATGATTTTAACATTTGTTTTCTCTAGAAGGTACAGTAATTTGGCTTTGAATTGAAAGACATTGAAGACACTCTGGTCTCTATTATCAAGATTTAAGTGGGTGAACTTTAAGGAATTTCTATTTCAGCTTCGTTCATTTGAATTCTTCGTGAAGTGCTAATATCCACTAAAGGGATTCCAGCTTCTGCTGGTAACCAAAGTGAACAGAAGTTGCCCCTGGGCTAATACTTAAATGCCAGTGAATAAATAGCTTGCAAATTCAGGAAGTTCCCGCAAGAGGGATAGAACTCTTTTAGTTTTGTGTTAGTTTCCAATAGATTAATAACTTTTGTGTATTTTTTTTTTTTTTGCACTATAAGATGCTCCTGAACATAAGACACACCTAGCTTTTGGGGAGGGAAACAAGAAAAAAAAATCTGCCTCTGCCTCCCAGCATCCATTTGATATTCATCTGGCTAGCGTCCTTGAAGCAAACAGTGAACAGCCTGGTTAGCTTTAGCACGTTATTGCAGCCCCAGCATGTGACTCGTCAGGGCTCCGCTCTGTTGCTCCCACTACCAGTTAACTGAGCTGAGCTACTGCTGCTACTGGGGAACACTGGAGACTTTGCTGCCGATCAGCTGATTGGTGGTTGGATTGGCCTCCTGGAATATTGCCAATCAGCTGTTCTAGGCAGCAAGGATCACCATTCGCCGTCAATCGCCACCACTGATTGCTGCCATCAAATGGCGATTGGGGGTGGCGATTGATGGCGGCGGCGATAGGTGATCCCTGCCACCTAGAACAGCTGATTGTGGTATTCTGATAGGCCAATCTTACTGCCAATCAGCTGCTTGGCATTCCCCGGCGGCGGCAAACGGCAGCAGCAGTGACAGGCCGTGGCGGTGGTGATCTCCCTCCCCCTCCCCTCCCTTCAATATTTGCTCTATAAGATGCACAGACATTTCCACCCACTTTTTTGGAGGGGAAAAGTGTGTTTTATAGTGCGAAAAATACGGTATTTCTAAGTTATCTGCCTTTTAAAATAGCCATTGGCGTTTTAACTCCAGATATTTTAGATACAACTGATTGTCTGGGTTATTTCCAACTGACTTGTTATAACTGTTACAGTTTTCTTATTAGCGGACCTATAATGAGAAAAGTCAGGGAGAGTACAATCCTGTTATTTTTTTCAAACTTTTCAGTTTAGAAAATTGAGATTGATATATCAGTTATTTCGAAGATGAACTAGCTATACCCCATAACCTCATTCTACACATGCTACCAAAATTCATTGGCAAATAACACTTTAAATTTTATGGCAGAGTAGTAGGAAACAACCTATTTAAAAAAGGTGCTTTTTTTATCTCTGTATGTATCCCTTCAGGTTAGATGGCACCTGGTGACTTTATGGGCAGTTTCCTAAGCAACATTTTTATAAGTGGTTTGCCATTGCCTTCTGAGAACTGAGAGATATTCTATTCTAAGGCAAGACTAGAACTCAATTCCCTCCACTTCTAGTCCA